TTCAAGGCCCTCACCCCTTCCCCCCCCCCCCCACGGCCGTTGGTTTTCCTGGAACCCCTTGTCGCTCGAGTCGACGATTGGGACCCGTCCATTCTTTTCCGTCATTCCTTACTCTTCACCTCAAGTTCACGCCTCCCTCCCCTTCGTTTTCTCGCCCATTCTTCTGCCTCGCCTCGCAACCGCCACCCAAAGGCCCCGCAAGAAGCAGCATCGTACACCACCACCACCAGCTCTACCTGTACGCACTGCGCACTTTGCCCTGCGCAACGTCTCTGGCGACCCTGCAATCTGCGTGCTGACCAATGTCGCGGCTGTAGTCATCGCGTCGGCGCCCTGTACCTCGAGAGCGCTTGTTTCTTGTCTTACTTGCGCTGCGCACACCCGTGCCACCTCGACTTCCGCCCATCCAACCAGGCCTCGTCCAACCCACATCTGGCGAACTGTCCCTGGCACGCACGCCGCCTGTTTCACCTTGTAGTCAGGCATCCCGCTCCACGCTCCACGCAGTCTGTCCCTTCGGCTGCCAGCCCTAACTCTGTCAAGCCCCATCGCTGCCATTCGCCATCTGCAGACCATCCACCATGGCTCAAATCGCCCTGCCACGACACCAGAGCACTCAGTCGCAGTCTGTGGGCATAGGCGCGCCGCTCTACCAGCGCCGCCAGCACTCTACTGCTGGGCCTGTCGAACTGATTCCAAACCCAGACTTCTCGTTTCCCATGCGTGCCTCAGATGATACTAGTCATTCAGCGCCACAGACAAGTACACGTCCAATGTCGCTACAAGCCTATCCAGCAGGTCGCCGTCAATCAATGCCACACCAGCGGCAGAAATCTGTCAGCGCCCTACCCGCCTTCTCCTTCAACCCAGCAGGTGCACCGCAACCAGACAAAACACCGTCTCCTCCGCGATCACCAAATCTCCTGCCTCCATCGCCCACGAAACCAATTCATGGCCATCGACGTGGTGGCAGCGAATTGATTGGCGGTGACGTGCGGCCTGGTGGCTCGACACTGGTGAGCACCAGTCCCACCAAGGGCGATGGCTTTCCGGCTACACCGAACAATGCCCTACGACCCGGTCCTCCAGCAGGTCGTCGAGGACACGCCCACCGCCGTTCGGGTGCCATATCATCACATGATCTGACTACCATCATGACGCCTCCAGCTCCGTCGCGAACTGGTAGCGCTCCCAACACGCCGGCTGAGGGCAACCAATTCGCCTTGGGCCATTCGGTCAATAGATCCATCTCGCAACCGTCTCTACGAGGTCCTAGTACAGAGAACGAGTCCAATGCGCGGCCGCCTTCGAGGGCACGTGTAGGATTTGCTGATAGAGTAGAGTACATTCGGCCACTTTCGACCATATCCTCTGAAACGGAGACATCGCTTTCGACATTTCGCGGCCACTCAGCAACCAATAGCCTCTCGTCTATCGTGGGCGGTAACACTCCACAGCCTCCAAGGGCGGGTCGGCCATCACTGAGCACAGTCGAAGATGAGAGTCGGCCTAGCACCGCTGGAGCCGTCCTGGATAGCTTCATGAGCAGCCCTGCAAATGGAGGGCCTTCAGACCGAAAACGGCCCATGTCTGCCGTCTCGCCCACCTCTCCCACTACTCCTGTAACTCGCGTTCCTGTGAAGCGCCGAGGCTTCTTCCGCTTGGAGTCTCGCCGCAGTGATCATGCTGTACACACCCTTCCCACTAGCGTGTCTGATCCAGCTCTGTCAAAATTCTCCGAGACACCGCTTGTCTCGCCAACTGCCGATGAAGACTCAACCGAATTGAAAGAAAAGATCAAATCTCCTCGAAAAGCTACTCGGAGGCCGCGAAAAGTCAAGTCCTGGGCGAACTCGATTCTACCACGAAAGTCGAAGCACAGCAAGAAGTCAAAGGCGAGAGTACCAACTCCACCCGTAGGACCAATTTCGGATGATGAGGATACAGATACATCTGACGACATCGACTTTGTGCCCAATTTTGACGAGGACACGACTGTCACAATCGTCTCTCCGACCCAGGCTGCGGCCCCAGAGCTCAAGGTGGATACCAGCTATGCTTCGTGGCAGCCACGACAACTTAAGCGTGTCGACTCCGACGTCATGAGTCCAATAATTGACCTGGATGCTGCACTTGGCCCCTTCAACACACCGGATGGGTCAAGCCCCCGACTCCAACAGCGTGGATTTTCAGCGAACAGGCGGGTTCTCCACAGTGCCAGTGGACTTGCGCCCTCACACCGGAGAACTGAAAGCGCTCCTGAGCTAGTACCTTTTGAATACCGTCCCTCAACAGCTACCAAGGCTGCCCCCATGGCTGATGTGTTTGAGGAGGAGGAGCCAGAGGACGAACCAGTCACGCCTGAGAAGGATCTAAAGCGGACTTCACTTGCCGAAGAGACGCAAGAACCGAAGATTTCCGTAGTCGAAGTAGATGGAAAGCAGCCAGAAGCCGGCATGAACTGGAACTTCAACGATGGCCTTGGGATTCAGCGCGATGAGGCGCCCACGATGGATTACTCTGAGCCCTTGGCACCACGCGCCATACCAGAGCATACAGCAAGTGGTGTGGAGCTGCAGCGATCACCTGAGCTTGAACCTGTCGAAGTCGTGGAAGATTTTGAAGAGCCCCGAACATCGTCTTTGACGCATTCTTCCGATTCGACCATAACGCCCCAACCAACAAGCGAGGACTCGAAAGCACACTCTCCTGCGATCAACCTGTCACTCCAGCTCACACAGCAAAACGTGATGACTCCGGACACTGTCACATCCTCATTCCCATCGCCAGGCTATTCGTTCGAGACTCCTCGGGCAGGGACATCAGCTTCTTCAATGACTGATTATCCTAATATGCCATCACCACGCTTTGGAGAACCTGGACCAGAGCTTCGCATTTCAGTAGACGATGTTCCGTCTCTGACTTCATCACGGTCGACCATGACTAGCGCTCTGCAGAATGCTTTTCCACTTGCCAGTCCTCGCAGAATTGGTGATCGTACGGCATCTCTTTGCTCCGATCCTAGCGAACTTGAGATTCGTCGCCGTAAACGATCTAGCATCGCCAGTCTATCTCGACTAATACATGGCTCATCACATAGTGAGAGGAGCAAGCTTTCTATCGAACAGCGCCCACAGTCAGAACATCTGGAGCCAGCGAGAGAAAAGAAGAAGAATAACCGGCTGAGCAAGTTGAAGTTTTGGAAGTCTTCCAGGGACTCTTCTACGACAAGAACTTGAACTGATTTCAGCCGAACATCGATGCCAAATCATCTTGACGATATTTGCACGCCTCGAGCCTTTCCACGATCGTCAATCTTGCAGGACTGCATCTTGACATCATGATACGACGGTCTCACAAACAACAAGTCCCTCTTATTTTCTTTCGCATGACCCGGAGTTCTCAGCGACGAATGTTTAATGGACTACAAGAGCTACCCTGCGTACGTGAATTGGACAGCCTTTTCCTTATCGAAGCATTCCATGCTTTTCATGTCTCGCTCGCACACGCACTGGACGACCACGTATGAAGGGCTCCTTTGACACCATGCATTCTGTACATTGCAGATACACCGAAGCCATGCCTGGACCCATTTATCTTTTTTTTGGGCGGCAGCACGCACCATCACGTCTCTCGTTTAATACACATCGATGATAGCAATTTTGCTAGACATGTACTTTCCTTTTTTCGCGCCTTTGCTAGTCAGGCAAGCGCTGCACGACACACAATTTCTCTTCCTTTACAATCTTTCCAACGGATGCATGGGCGCACACTAGTGCGCAATGGATGGAGTCGGATGAAGGCGCATATTTTTGCTTATTTCCTGCTATTTGTATGTATGAAGGAACAGGAGGATGGCATGGGACAAATCTCGAATGGTCATTTACGCAACCAAGAGGCTGCGACCAGGTGGTGGATTGAGCCATGAAGAAGGGGGCTGCAATCGTGAACAAAATCAACTTGATGACTTTTATGCAAATTCGCTTGCGCTCTGCTGGTCAATGTGAAACGTGACGTGGATGCCAGTCGTCCTGGTGCCCTCCGTGTTCATCTCGCTTTTCTGGGGCCTCCACGAAGGATGCAAAGTCGGCTCCTGTCCCATGGGGCCTGCAATTAAAACGGTCTGCACAGCCCCATGGTTCGGTCTAATGACTCCAGATCGTCTTGATAACCGATGAATCTATAGACTTGGGGAGTTGCACAAGTCATACACTAACCCACATAGCCACATATTTTATTGAACCCAATATTGATCCTGACTCGCTACCAGTGTGATCTGCTTGCCGCCTCGACACGTAACACCGTGCATCCACGAACCGGCCAGGGGTCTTCTGGCAAGAGACGGGAACGCTTGGGATGTGAGGAACATGAGGGAATGAGGAATGCGCTAGTGCCCCGGACTTTAGCGCCATGCTGACGGGGCAAGTTGGCATCAGCGAGCCATCTTGATCACGCTCCCAAACAGGTACCCCGCCAATAAACATAGTACCCCTCCCCTCAATACATCACCCGGCATGGCAGACGAAGACAAGGAAAAGGCAGAGAAGGTCGCTGCAGCCAAGAAACGCGTAGGTGCACCTCAACACGGCATGACTGCTTGGTGTACACGGTGAATAAGCGGTCTGGCTCGAAAATGTACTGACCAAGTGTGAACAGTATGAGCAATTGAAGAAGCAGAAAGCGAAGAAAGGCGGGGGCGGGAAAAAGAAGGAAGAAAAGGCAGATGTGCCGCCAGAGGCTGAGGCATCGGGCACAACAGCGGACACTGAGGCACCAACTCCAGCTGCTGATGGTGAGACGAAGCCAGAAGAAGGCGCACCAGAGGCTAGAGAAGTCACGACTGAGCCAGCCGAGCCTACAGAAGATGGCGATGCACCTTCAGAGCTACCTGTGCCCAAGATAACGCATGGTCGCAAGCCTTCGGTCGCAATCGAGTCGCGTCAACGATCAGAGTCGTTCTATCGCTCTGGCGCGCCTGTGTCGCCTCTGTCACCCGGCGGTGGGGGCGTCACGAGTGAGGTGTATAGGGAGCAAGCGCAAAAGATCGAAGAGCTAGAAAAAGAAAACAAGCGTTTGGCTAGCGAGGTTGAGGAGAATAAGAACAGGTGGAAGAAGGGCGAGGAGGAACTGGAGGAGCTGAGAGAAAGCAAGGGCGATATCGCTGTTGCTGTGGAAAAGGCAAAGGAAGCGGACAAGCTGGTTTGTGAATACCTTGATGCACGTTGTATACTCGGTACATCACCGCTCACACCTATTACAGAAGACGGAGGTCGAATCACTCAAGCGACAACTTTCGCAGCTCCAGACGCAAAATTCAAAGTCCATTCGCCGAACGTCGACGGCGTCCCCGAGCCAGACAGCATCCATCGATGATCTCAATGCACAGGTCGCATCCAAGTCTGCAACAATCGAATCTCTAGAGCTGGAAATCTCAAATGTGAATCGACAACTCTCGGACCAGGTCAAGGAAAACAACGAGCTCCAAACAAAAGTCTCGAATCTCGAATCTGCCTTGCAAAAGGCCGAACAAGACGCCAGCTCTACCAAAACAGAGCTGGCCGATCTCAAGGCCAACCTCGAAAAGGCGGGTGAACAAGCACAAAAGGAGGGATCAGACCGAGACTCTGCGCAGACACGCGTGGCACAACTGGAAGCCGAGCTCGGTGCTGCCAACCGCAAAGCCTCAGACTCAATCTCCCGTGCCGAACTGTTAGAGAAGAAGATCGAGACCCTGACCCAACTCCATCGTGACAATGATGCAAGGAACCAAACTCGTGCACAAGAGCACAAGAAGATTGAACGCGAAGCCACTGAATTGCGAACGCGCATCGCAGGTCTCAGCAACGAAAATGCTCGTCTCCGTGAAGCAGAACAGCGGCGTCGCAAAGCCGATCTTGGCTCTATAGAAGATACAAGCGTACAAGAACTTCTCGACGAAGAGCGTGACCGGCTGCTCGCCCAAGTCCGTTCTCTCGAGGAAGAGAATTTCGAACTCAAGCGCGGAGTGTGGCGCGACCGGAGACGCGATATGCAGCCCAACATTGAAGACCAAGAGGGTTCCCTGGACCCCTACACCACAGGCCGACACAACAGTTCAGGATTCGACGACGTGGATCTCAGCGGCCATGCCCCCTCTCGCGGCCAAGGGTCCAACCGCACTCATTCCTCCTTCCAAGACGTCATTCAATCCGGCATCTCTGCCTTTACCGGAAACCAAAACCCAGCGCATAGACGCAGCGATGCGGCAAGCAAGAGCCGGCCACGAACAGAGAGTCTGGCGAGCTTGGACGAGTTTGAAATCGACGAGGAGGCGTTTCGGTTGGCGCAGGAGGAGGAGGCGAAGAGGCGGTTGGAGCGGGTCAAGGAGGTCAAGAGGGGTTTGAACAATTATAAGGGGTGGAGGGTGGATATTGTGGATGTTAGGGTGGGTATGGGCGGTGTCTTTGAGGTTTGAAAGGGTGGGGAATAGCTTGGGGATGGACATGTGTTTGCTGTGGGCTGGACGGTGTCACGCAGTTGCGGCGATGGGAGGGTAACCAATAGAACAGCAAACATGGTACAGGACAGTATACAAATATCTCAAAAACTATAGATACGTTTCAAATAAAGAAACCCAGTGTCCACTTTCTTCAGAAACAACGTCCTTTGCCTACCGCATCCACGATTTGATACAAAGAACTCGCCAACTCACCAATTCCCAGACCAATCCATTCCTCCACCCAGCCGTCTCCGTGTGACTCTAATCCGTGAGATCCGCATGATTTGTTAAGAGGTATGGATGGAGGTTTCCACATGTCCCACCGCACAACCTCCTTCAGCGAACCCATGCCCCCTGCCGGGCCAAAAGTTGAGCGGAAACTGTCAAGGTCTCTCCCGTCGTATCCGGGGGATGGGAGAGAGGGGGATGTGTGTGAGAAGTGTACGTTGTAATTCGGTTCTGGGAAGATGGGGCTTAAGTGGGGGTATAAAGGAGGAGGCAGGCAGACCGGATGAATCTATCATTTCGTCTCATACATGTATATAATATTTCATATTGATGGGAAGAACCAAAATATCATGTTTGTATATGTTGAAAAGTACCATGGAATGTTGAAGGAAGAATAAAACAGTGATACAATTAATTCAATACGGTTATGAATCCGTCAACTCGGCAGCCGCAAAATACCCTTTACTCTCCACCACACCCCGGTCTTTGACTACAGCTGTGTATTTGATTACCCATTGCGGTTCCACATTGCCTCTCAAGCCGTCTGGATTTCCCTCTCCGGCAAGAACACCGCATCCCTCCGGCCCAGTGCCTAGGAGTTGCCGTAGGGTGCCGCGAGGGAGGATGTTGGTGCAGTCATTGTGTGTCAAGAGCTCCACCTGCTGTTGTTTTGCGAACAAAATCAATGGCTTTGGGACTACACAGCAATCTCTCACGTTGATTTGGTTGACGCTGGGCTTGACGTTAACTTGCTCGAGGAACTTGGCTAGCCTCGTGACGCCGAATTCAGCGATACCGAGGCGCGAGACGAGACCGTCTTTTTGGAGCTTCTCGAGGGACCGCCAGGTGGTGATGATGGTTTCCATGTCCTCGGGTGGTACGTCGGCGTCGGGGCAGTCGCCATCGTTGAGGGTGGGCGAGGATGTGGAGGGCGGTGCGGAGGTCGTTTCGTCGTCGAGATCAGAGTCCTCGTCATCTGCGTCAAAGGAGACTCCTGGGAAACTGACGATGAGGAGATCTATGCAGGAGGTGCCTAATTCCTTGAGTACGAGCTCGATGGCGTCGCGTGTTTGCGCGCATCGTCTATCTGTGGGTATGTTCGGTAGATAGAACAATTTGACCGTGATGTCGTATGATTCCCGTGGTTCGCTGAGAGGGGAGGGTGAATGTGTGGGTATGAAGAGGGTGCCGTTGCTGGACTCTTGTGTGGTCCATGACTTGTAGTTTGGTTTCGCAGCTGTGCCATGCGCTGTGGAGGGTGGTGAGGACTGATGGGCGGAGAAGTTTGCACGCAGGGAGGATGTGAGTTCGGTGTTTGACTTTTCGAAGAATGGGCGCCGGATCACCGAGGGACTACCGGACATGGTGTTCCTAGGGGCCTGTTAGAAAGACATGGTGAGGATGGTGGGGGCAGAAGAGGCGGGTACGCACGAGGTGGAGAGTATGAGCTTCATGGTGGCAGCCGTTGGTGGGATCCAAGCCTGAGTCTTTGCGCTGTGAGACTTTCGAGACTCTGTTCGAGGTTGGATTATGGCTGGAAAGAGAAGGAAGTTTCGGTCGAGGTCTTGCGCTCAGAGGAATTGCGAGTTTGTCAGCGGGTGGGGGATGAACTACGAACAGCCCGGGCGGGTCATGCGAGTTCGGTCTGATATGGAATGGGTGCGGTCGAGGGGTTCTCGAGAAGATTACATTATATTCAGTGCTGGATTGGGCTTGTGTGACGTTGTTGTAGTATTGGATGTATCATATGTGGTGATTGGGTCCGGTGATAATCCAGTTCAGCAACAGAAAGCCGTAACCGGTAGACGGCGGCCGGGACGGCGCATGGACTCGCGGGGCTAACACGACAATGTCCGGCGGCCGAATCCTCCCAGGCACACAAGGCTTCCCTTCTCTTTTCGACACCTCAACTTCACGCCCACACACAGAGACACAGAGACACACAGACACACAGACACACACCGCAACTTCCTCTCCACCTCCCCTTTGCGAGCATGACGATCAAGTATGTTCCCATCCTCGCTTCCTGCTTTTGCGTTGCATGCTCCTGTTCGATGATTTCCCCCATGATCAACAGCTGACAATGTGGCCATAGGTACCTCATTCTGCTGTCAAGGCAGGGCAAAGTGGTTGGTACCTCACCCTGCTGTTGCCACGACCCTCGTGCTGAAGCCTGCTAGCGTCTGGCCAAATGGTTCACCACCCTCGCCCCCAAAGACAAGGCCAAAATCGTCAAAGATGTCTCCCAGCTCGTTCTCGCGCGCCGCACGCGCATGTGCAATTTCCTCGAATATAAAGGTGAGTGCCTCTCCTTCAGCCGCGCCCCCGTGCTTCACGGTCCCTTACACTATGCCCGCAGATACCAAGATCGTCTACCGCCGGTACGCCTCGCTCTTCTTCATTGCCGGCTGCGACTCGACCGACAATGAGCTCATCACGCTCGAGATAGTCCATCGCTATGTCGAGCAGATGGACAAGTACTACGGCAACGTGTGCGAGCTCGACATCATCTTCAACTTCCAAAAGGCCTACTTCATCCTCGACGAGCTCCTTCTGGCCGGCGAAATGCAGGAGAGCAGCAAGAAGAACGTGCTGCGATGTATAGGACAGCAGGACAGCCTCGAGGATATGGAGGTGAGTGAAGTTTGAGCGACTTCACGAAAGCTTCGAGCAACCACAGGCGCCTAGTGGCTGACGCGCCCTCTTCTGGCCAGGCCGAGGACGACATCATCACTAAGATCATGTGACCATCTTGTTCGAAGCATTCGGTTGCATCCTGCGCACGTCCTGGCCAGCCACGTCCATCGTCCACAAGAGTCCTCGCTGATCGTCACGCGCCGCTCCAGGATGCGGAAGACCTACAAGGCCGCCTTCGAGAAAGTGGCTTTTTATGAAGTGCCGGTACAGTGCACGCCACAAAGGAACACGAATGCATTGCAACGGCGTCATATGGGTATGGGGCGCAGGGAGTCAGGCTGGCTATGGTACACAGAGCGCTGCATCACGCAGCACATGTCACTAAACATTTTCCGCCAACTAGATGGCGCGTTGCAGAACGGGATTTTACAGTCATGGTCGACAGGACCACCAGAGAAATGCACTATCTGCCTTGTCGCCACGAAGAGCGGCTGGCGATAGCTGTACTCTAGCATCTACCAATCTACCACTTGAGGCTTCGCGCCCGTCAGCTAGGTTTGGCACAAGCAATTCTTGGGCTCGAACGTGATCACACATCATGCTATCGGGACTTCAATCTTGCTTTGCTTTTGCTTTTCTCTCCTCAACACCAGTACTAACCGTACTACTTCCACAGTGACAGGCCCTTCCAGTATCCTTATTAGTCGACACTCTGTGACAGCAAATCAGGTTCGGATCATTCTTTGGTCCTTCTTTCCAGAACCTCAACATGCATACATCAATAGATAGTTGCCGAACTCCTTACGGGTTCATTGTCTGGCAACCAGTGCTGTGTCGTCCCATGTGCTCGGAGCTTAACGGATGGTTACCATCTTCACATCAACGCGAACTTCACATAGCCGCATCCAACTAGCACTAGTACAACACCCACCAGTCAGCTCTCGACGACCTCCCATTCACGCTTATCGGCAGCTGTCGTTGGTTGAAGGGGAAGGCTCGACGTCGGTATCGGGTTGGACCAATCAGAAACAGCATCCCGGCACTTATGCTCCAGGTTAGCTCGGCGACACCGCCAAGCGCATCATGACTGTCTCCGCAATTGCCAACACGTCGTCGCAGTAGAGACACCTCACACCACCACTCACCGCATCCACGCCCGCTACATGTCCCTCGCTTGCTAGACAGTCGTCTGGCCGAACAACGATATCCTCTTCTCTCTGCAGCCAGCCTGGAGCAGTGTCTATCCGTTGTATCGGCTCTCGCAGGCCACCCTCACGAACAAAGGAACACCTAAGCCCCAGCCAGCAGTGTGCCGACATTGCCATCATCTGTCTGAGGCAGCGCGACAGTTGAGACAGCTGCGACACCGAATCTGTGGATTAGTAGACCAATTAGGACCCCGACCGGGCGCAATGAAGGTGCGTGCTCAATGCGATAAGGCCTGTGATGACGATGTAGCTAATATGGCGATTTGCAGTACCTCGACTTGTGTGCCCTCCACGAGGTCAACCTCGCTCTCAATTTCGACACCCAAGATACAGCCATTATTGGCGGATGCGATCTATGGACTATAAAGGCAGCCGGAAGCGATAAGAAACTATACAAGCGTATCGAGAAGACGCTCGAGGAGCGATACCAGGACCTGCTGTCAGCTGTAGCAGGTCTCTCAGAGTCATCAGCCGCGCAATTTAAAGATCAGCTCAACATTGCCAGAGAGACGCCATTCGGCACCTTCAACGAGGCAGCGAACCGACACACCTTTGCTTACCTCATTGCGACACTGAATGCGACACACATAGACTACGACTTTGCGAATACGCTCAATCCGGATGAGTTTCGCCGCGAGACTCAACAATCCTTCACGCACAAGATTGACACAACCATGTACTATCTACGTCCACAAGTCTACTCGGCTGGGCTGCCGGCAGGTGCCATTACACCTCTCGGCTCGCCGATCTGGAGTCCTCGGTCATGGTATTTGATCGACAGTGAAATGGACATGGCGAACTGCGAGTACTACGCCTGGGAGCCATCAGATGACCCATTCGCAGATGACGGAGCCATCTGGAGCCATCACTTCTTCCTATACAACAAGGACCGCAAGCGCGTCGCCTACTTCTACCTCCGTGGTATCTCTGCGCTATCGCATTCGCCCAGCGTCGCCATGTCGCTCATGTCCAAGTTCAAAGCCTCCAAGTTCGAGTCATCGGCGAATGCCGGGTCCAGAAAGCGCGCCGAATACTGGCTTGGCGATCGGGCTCGCAAGGGACTCGAAGCCTATGGCGAGTCGGATGAACTGGATAATATGGTGATTGATCATCCGGGCGATATTGTCGATGCAGAGCAGACTATGCTTCCCGCGAGGGAGATGAGCATGGATGCCGATTACTACGAGAGTGAGGGCGATAGCGATGTCGAGAGTCTTGTGGAGCGGGAAAAGCGGCCAAGCAAGCCACGCACCATGAGTGAGGGGGTCATGGATCGCATGGAGCTTTGATGCCCTTGCTCTGCCCTCTGAACAGGAAAGAGTGGTGTTGCAACGAATCATGGGGTGAGTACGGCTCGTTTGTCAATCAAATTGACGTCTCTACGATCCATCCTCCTTGACGCACACACCTTTGTTCTCTCACGAATTTCCTATGCTCTGGGCGTTCACGGCGTTTTACGGTCTGTCAACACTCGGCTATTTGTCAATTCCCTTTTCTCTTTCCATTGGTCTGTACTCCTGGCTCTTGAGCATGACGAAATGACGACGACAAGGCGTTACGGTCGGTGGGAGCGACGCGTTTCAACGTCCTTTGTTTTTGCGTCCGGGCTCGAGATACCCCTATTTTGTTTTTCTGTGCGCTGTTGTTTTCTCTTTGGGGGTTCGCTGGCTGGCTTTGTGGGGAACGGTGAGTAGGGGTTTGTGTGATGCATGTTGTAGGATGATGGTGGTGGTGGTGAAGTAGTGTGGATGCGTGTGCACGTAGTGTCCGTGTATCCGTATATGTCAGTCTATTCTGCAGCTTTTGAATCGACTTTTACATTGTAATGTCCATTTATGAAACCAGTGGTGAAACCTGGGCACGCGCACGTTGATTTTTGCAATATCACCTCTATGAGCTGGTGCGGATGGGTCGGGTTGAAAGCGCTCTGCACATTTGTCCATGTTTCTTTCGACAAGTGGAGTACAAGTATGAACAACAACACCGTTCTTACCACGCCTTTCCTTTCTTTCTCCCAGTGTCCTTGACGCTAAGCAAAGACAAGACAGGACAAGATAAGACAAGAGAAAAAAAAAACTCATTTCCCCATAGAAAGCCGCGGGTAACGCAATTCACACATCTCATCTCACTCCACCAGCGCATCATTTGAGATTTTCTATGGGATGTTTGAGGGGAGGGCATTGCATAGTAGTGCGGTGTCAGTGAGAAAGCAAGGGGATACAGGGTTACAGTGTCCTACATCTTCCAAAGTGTCGGTATGGAGATGCAAATGGTGGTGGTGATGGGCAGTATGTCGATGTCGATCTGCTCGGTGCGATTAGTCCGGACACCTCTGGACCCCAGAGCCGAGGGGAAGTGGCCACGCCCTATTTGGCTGCAAACTCAAGAGTGTACAGTAGTAGTAACGCCAGTCCCCGTCTAGAGTATGTAGTAGTGGCTTCATTCCCGCTTTGAACAAGGCATTCGCTACTTGTTATATCCGAAGAGGCAGGGATACGGGATGCGCCTCAAGTGGGTTTTTGGGGCAGGTGTAAGCGAAATTTGCACGTTTCCGGGGCTTGGGCGTCATGAAGAGGCGGGAGAGCACGAGGCCGAGGGGTGTGGGTTTTTCGTTGGGACGGATCACGGCTTGCTTGGCGAGTTGTGGTTTACGGGTTTCTAGGTGAGGATGTGAAGATGGGTACGGTATGATTTGGATTACTAACCACGCTCGCTTGCCGCGGTAGATCTTGCTTGGAGTGCGGATGGGCTACCATACATGGTATGTACTGCACATGTGCTAGGTATCGGTTTCAATGACTCGGTCCAGCATCAGATAAGACGATGAAGTTGATATCCTGACGCAGGCATCGTGAACTGGGATAGGATGGACTGCAGATGTCGAGTGGCTAAAGGGTAGTGTGCGGCGAAGCACTTGCACATGTGCTCCATGTCACACGTGATATGATGATGTTGAGAGCTGAGGTCGACGTCAGTTGTAGACTAGGACTGCTCTGACCTGGCTGACTGGGGCATAGGATGCGCTTGGTACTGCAACCAGCATGGATTCATCATTCAACATTGCGTCCCTCAGGTAACACCTACTTGGCTTCTGTTGTTTCAGAGTCCAACATGGGTACCGTATGATTACGGAGGTTGACCGTGCCATACTACCCTAGAGCGAAGCTGGGGATATATCATTGCAAATTGTAAATTGTGTAAGTGGCCAGTGATGTAGGTAGTAATAGATGTCCGAGATTCTTCGCGACAGCTGCGAATCGACGTGTAGCAATCGCAGGGGGGGGGCTGCGTGCGTCATAGCAGCAGGCATGCGAGATGGTGTCGTAGGTTACGGTATGCTGCAGAGCATCCAGACGTGACGCGGGCCGTGCTCTTTGTGAATGTAACCGCTGTGCCTCGAGAACGTACCGGTAGATAGCTACTGCTTCTGCTTCTGGTGCTGCTAGCACTGCTGCACTTCCTTTGCCCATGGTGGACGATTGGTGGAGCTGCGGGGCGAGCCAGCAGTGAGTTTGCAGGGCGCAGGTGCAGGCGTTCGAGCTCTCAATTTACGGGAACTCCATGTTGGGTTAGCGGGATTCCTACTTCGAAACAGGCTTATTACTTTCCCGGATGTTGCACGGTCGAGGGGCTTCCCTGTGCTGCATGAGGTAGAGTAGAGACTGTCTACTGGGCTGGCTATCGGCACAGGACGGTGTACTACAATTCATCTGTCGGTGCCTTAGCATGGTGACGCATGTGTCGCATTGTGGCGCCGAGGGTTTGTTCGACATTGTTGCGAGGGCATGCATCGTCTGGGGCTGGTTGAGAAGCAAGTCACGTCCCGGTTGTCAACTTGGGTCGTTCTACTGCATTGCTGTGCCTACTACTAGGAGTAGGTATGTAATGAATCTCAATATAGAAACCCAAATCTGGAACCTGGACCGTCGTCTAGCTTTGACGGAGAATTTTTTGATCAGCAGCCTCCAGCCGTTTGCCAGGTAGATTCATTAGCATTGGATGGACGCTGGGGAAGGTTAAGGGTCTTTGAGGTACGGTTGTCGATCGGATGGTTTGCACGCTCTGGGCCAGGCCGGCAGATGGAAGACTAGCGTGTCAGCATGTTGTGAGCCGCCTCGATCAAAGAGTTCGATGGTCCTCAACAAGGCTGCATGATTGTATGTGGGCAAGTCTGCAAGATTGGTCTGACGGCCTTCCACGGTGCTTCGTTTGACGTCGATGGCTTCATGGGCCTGGGACGGCGCGTGGTGCTATGTATGGTGACTGCTCCATGTCGATCTTGAAGCTCATGCACCATCATACATGGAGAAGTGGATCCCTTTTTGCCACAGAGCGGAACGTCGCTGGGGATGGAATGCCACGGCGTCTCAACACGAGAGAGAGAGAGAGAGAGAGAGAGAGAGAGAGAGAGCCCTAGTACTCTAGACTCTAGACTCAAGAAGAGAAGTGGGTAAGGGTTGTACTACGTAGCCCAGCCTTCGTTGCTCACTGCCCATTGCTACAATACTCTACCTAGACAGTACCAGTATGATTGCTGTACAATACGTGTAAGATGGGTGCTGGGCTCGGGCCCACTTGGGACACGGCCGTATAGGTAGCTCTCATCCTTACTCCAGGTGCAGTAAAGACATGCGGCGATACGTAATGGCCAGACTGGCCGGCCCAATCCGCTGGCGCTGGGCGAATGGGCTGGACGGTGTATGGGTCCGATGGGATAGGTACAAAGAAACCATGAAGGCCTTCAGGGTCTACCTCGCATGGAAGACGGTCAGGTGCTGCGAGATGGGATGCCCACCCTGCCCTTGTTCCGAATCGCGTGTGGACACCAGTTCGTACGGAAACCAGGACCAGTAGGTACAGTAGGTACCCCATCCGCTGACACTCCGGCGATACTGCGTTGGTCGCCTGCCATGTCCCTGGGCACGATTGATGTGGACAATAGTATGGCTAGGTGACTACTCTAGGTATCTCCAGCTCGCCGAAGACATGTGTTTTTGCTCAGAACAGCGCGTGCGATGATGATTTACATGAGTTTCCAAGGGGCAGTTGGCCGCGGGTGGTGGTGGTGGGGCTCGTTGCGGGCCCCAGGCCATGATGCATGTCGTCCAGTGTGTAGGTAGCGTGCGCTATGTATGGCATATACCTATACTACATAATGTATCTAAAGGAGACGGGATCAGCAGCCGCAGCAGCCTGATGTGCTCTATAGTACCACATACATATATACATATATACATACATACACACATACATACACACATACATACATACACACATACATACATACACACATACATACATACACACATACATACACACATACATACATACACACATACATACATACACACATACATACACACATACATACATACACACATACTTACATACACACATACATACATACACACATACATACACACATACATACGTACACACATACATACATATCACACA